TGTGCTGAGCCGATCAGCTGTTTGTCAGCTCAGCGCAGTAGTCTGGATGCTCTGTGGTCAACATCAAAGGCATTTGTTGACCTCCCAGGTAAACCTCATCCCAGGAGGAATACCTGGGAGGTCGACAAATGCCTTTGACGTCGACTGCGGAGTGTCCAGACTATCGCGCTGAGCCGACAAACAGCTGATCGGCTCAGCGCAGCAGCCATTTAAATTTAAATGAAGCGGCGATTATTTAAATCGCCGCTTCATTTTCCTATGCCAGGTAGCCTCATCTACATGCCTCTGTCGCCAGAGGCATGTAGTCTAGACATACTCAAGATGTCTTGGCAGGTTTTATGTCCCCCGCCTTTGGGGTCTTGTGTTTTACTCTTTAATATATATTTATATTGTGTTTTAAAAATTTTGTAAGCTGCCGCAAATATAAATAGAGGCGCGGAGCAAAATAAAATAAATAAATAAAATTTTTAAAAGTGAAAGCTCTAGCCTGAGCAACAAGTTTCACCTATTTTGTTTCTTACCTGCTTTTGGTTGACACTATGTAGTACATGAGCAAGCACGTCTTCCTCTGCATTGGGCTGGAAGCGGAGCCCTTCACAGAGCTCAGCCGTGGCACTCATGCTCGGAGGTCAGCAAGGTCCACATAAGGCAGTCCAGTTGCGTCAGTCGGTCTGTACTCATTTAGTCTTCCTGCAAGCTGCACTAACTTAATCTGTTTCTGTTCTTTTGTTTTGTCTGTTTCCTTCCTTTTGGCCAAGTGGTGATTGCTTATTGGGCTGTTGGGGCCCACTTTCATTAAAAAGCATAAAAGCCACAATAGTTCTAGTTCATGCTAGAGCTAGGTCTGAACCAGATCACTGCTTCTGGGTTTCCCCTGTACCGTGCCATCCCAAATGTTCAAAAATCTCAAATAAGGCCCTGAAAAATCATGAACTTTTAAAATGTGGGGGGTCCTTTTTAGTTGCTTTCTCTCTCTTTTTTGGCACACCCTTTTAGGAGCACTCATCACATGTTTTAAGTATTTTCTCTGCACCCACAAGGGACAGAAACTTATTTTAAAAAATGAAACCTGAGTATCTCTTAATCACTTGCCTCCAGGCAGGCGCTGGTCTCTAAGTAAAACAGCAGATATTTTGAGACTTGCACTAAAATGACACAAGTCGGTCATGCTGCTTTCCTGAACTTTAGGGTAGGTTATATTTGGCTCTGAGCTCTTTGGCTCACATCAATGGCTAATTTATGCTTGCATTACATCAAAGTGCTTACAGGGCACAGGGTCATCTAAAATATTACATGGGGGAGGAAACCAACAGCTTCAGCATGCAAACATTTACTACTGATTGTTGTAAATGCATTTATGGGGCTACTTCCCCAAGTGTGCAGGAACACCTCCCCTCATTGGGAAAAACATAGGAATCCAAAAAGTCCATGCTACCCGTAGTCCATGCTCTTCCCTTGTTGTTTCTTTTTGCAAAGACACTTCCTAGAGTAAACTTTCTCCCTTGTCACACAAAGGAAGTACCCAATTTGCTTTGCATTCTTCTCTCAAGCCCTGCATGCTAGACAGCCAGCAACTCTATTCTTCCTCCTGAGCTGAATGCTGGGATCCCAGTCTGTCAAGGAGTAGAGATGGAAATGCCACGCAGCCTAAGCACAATGCTTTGAAAGGCAATGTTCATTGCATTGTATTCAGCTGCTAGATTCCTTGATGTTACAAAAAGCATTTACTTCCACAAATATAATCAATCAGGTAGCTATGTTGAGTCACACCTTCTGACCCTCCGTTTTGCATAACAGCCTTATGCTGCATGATGCTAGTGTCCTCACCATTGTTCTTTTTTAGTTAGTGAACTGTGAATGATAAAGTTGTACTGAGGAAGAATACCTCTTAATTAATGGAAAAAAGCTTATTTCTTTAGTTGTTTAAGACACCAATTCAGCAAATCACATAGGCACATGCTTGGCTTTAACATGCACTTCAGTGATTCAATGAATTAGGGCGTCTATACAAAATTATAGATAGACAGACAGACAGAGGGATACTTCTCCTTGTAGGACAGGGCATATCATTCCCAATCTGTTCCAGAGAGTTCCTTGCCTTAATCTCATCCTCTTCTGGCACATTTCTTGAGACTCTGTAACAAACAGTGGCTCCTTTGGGGGCACTAAACGAATGTATAGCACAAATCCTGCTTTCTTTATTTAGACATTATGTCATATGAATACAATGGACCAAAGCCTGTTCTCAGCCACACTAGTGTAAATCAGGTGTAAGCCTCTTAGGGCTTGATCCAAAAAGCGATTTTCCATTGACTTCCATGGGCACTAGAGGCCCTTTTATCTGAAACAGAATTATATAGTAGTGCAAATGTGAGCAAAATTTAATCTACGGCTTTCAGAAGAGACAATCAGAGAGGGGAGAGGTATGTTTTATGATCATATTTTGAAAAAAAAGAACTATGGCCATATACAGTAGGTAAAAAGTGATGCAATCTAAGACCTACAGTATGTGCTTACAGCCTGGAATTAACAGCTTTACTCTCCTAGTTATTTTTAGATAATGATGCCATTCCCAGCAGCTTCAAATTGTATTGCTTCTCTAAGATATGTGAGCTCCTGGCCGCCATAAGATCTATAACATCAGTGACAGCTGTGTTGTGCGTGCAGCTCACATAGCAACTGAGCACAGCTGTCTGCCAAGGAAAGCTGGCTCTGATTTCTCCCATGACTATTAAATCAATGGTAAAAACAAAAGGAAGGAGGGGACAGTGCGAGAAAAAGGGAGAACAGATTCCTTGGTGATAATACATGCAAACTCTCTTAAATCAACAATGCAGGGTTTATTTTTATATTTATTGCTTCCAGCCTTGGCGTAGGAATCCAGTCGGCTACACACAGTGGATACAGTGCCAGAGCTGGGGTGGGGAGGGGTGACTCCTGTGCTGTATCCACCCAACTGGACTAGAGCGGCAACAGCGAAAGAAATAATTCCCAGCAATAATTGTTGCTCAAGCAGTGCTCAATCATATGCAGCTTCCTGTTCTGAGTCAGCTCCTGCCTCTTCATCATGTGAACAGTGACTGTAGGAGCAACTACTGTTCAATGAAATTCTCTTACCAGGAGGCAGCTAGTCATGGGCTGGGCGCGTCTGTGCTGACTGGGAACAAACACGAGTATTTCTTACCCTGGTTTGCTGCCATTCCCAAAGGCAAGGGCTTTATGATAATTATGGCTTGACAGGCCCCTCACAGGCTGCCTGGAGTATTTGTAGTGATTCTGCCCCAGAAGTCACACTCTGGTTCCCACTTCTCCCAGCTCCTTGGTATAACTCAGGTGTACTGGCTGGTATGTTAAGGAAGCAGAGCCCAAGGTGTACTCCCCCCCCCTTCCCTGCTAGCCAGTTCCTTGGTCTCTATGCAGGAGGGGGGAGCAGCTGACCAGGGGAGGCTGCTCCACCATCCAGATTGCAACCTGTGAAATGGGCAGCCCTTGCAGGGAAGTAAAGGGACACTTTGTGCCTCCAACTAACCTGCCCAAATAGACTGATTCACAGTTGAGCCCGTAGGAAGAAGTTTAAGCAGCTTGCTTTGTGCAGAACTGCCCTCAATGACTTCATTTTCACTGCAAAGATTTTACTGACTGTTTGGAACAGTCTTTCTTAGCCTCTGAGAATCAAATAAGTCTTGGATACCTGAATAGACTCTGACATTGTAATGCCCACACTCTGATATCTCCAAGTACTGTATGTTGAAAAACATTTTGATTGATAGATTGAGGGACGTGGCAACTCAAGGCCAGTAATAAGAAATAGAGGCTTTCATGTTTAGTGTACTGGTAACATAATGGCCATACTGGGTCACACCAAAGGTCCATCGAGGCCAGTATCCTGCCTTCTGACCGTGGCCAGTGCCAGATGCCCCAGAAGAAATGAACAGAACAGGGAATCAAGTGTTGTTCATTCTCAGCTACAGGCAAACAGAGGCTAGAGGCACCATCTCTGCCCATGCTGGCTAATGGATGAACCAGGGAAATTCATCACCTGACGGCTTTCTGAAGGTCTGTGTGAAATGAATTTGGTCTCCATCCAATTTACATAAGTTCACATCGCGTTACTCACCATCACAACCGGAAGTAACTGGCATCTTTATTGGCAGTCTCAGCAGAGAAGCACAGAAAATGAGCAGCTCTAAGTTACTGCAGATGAAAAGTCCAGGCAGATTTAGTTAGGCAAGATGAAGTCTGGCGTATCACTGCTTGGGCAGTATTTCTTGCTGGTGAAATAGTGCTTCCCCCTCCAGAGATTTTAACCTGGATCTTTTCACATGTGCTAAAACACACTTTTAATTTTCTGGTTTCTGTTCACACCACAATTATGCATGTGGCCAACATAATACTTACTAAGCACTTTCACAACTCTGCAGACTTGAATCATGTGGCACTGATCAGGACCTCATGTTCATCGGTGCGAGAGAGGGGGAAAATGATAACCAGGGCATCAAGATACTTCTTCCTTTTGAACAGTGGTATGCATCTTTTACTACCACGTGGAAAGCACATGGGGAGGAGAAGGAGCTACATCATCTCCATCTGTGCACTGGCAGCATCAAGCCAGTCTGCTGAGAATGATACTTTATTTTAAAAGAAAAGCAGAGTTTTCTTCTGAATTAGTGCAGTAGGTTAGTGAATTAGCCTTTCACTTCTGGAAACCTGAGTTCAGACCTGTGTGACAAACTATACCCTAATTAATGTATTTATCTGGTGCACAATTTGTATATTTTTATCAGAAGAATCCAAATGACTGCATTAGCAGCAGCACCAAATATCAGCCAAGTTTCATCAGTAGAGCTATTTATTTACTTCTGGTTTGTTGCAGGCTGTGCTACTGATTTCGGTGAACTTCACACTCAGTTGAAGAACTCAACAAAAAAGCATTAAAAAATTTCATATATCAACAAAAACTGATTTTACAGTTCTGTTTGGAAATATGAATGACACAGTAATCAGATCAATTTTTATTACAAAATCTTGCAATAAAATTTCTTAGTATTCACAATATTTAAACTTTTATAGCTGCAATATTTTACTAGTACATAACACAGTCTCACATATTTACATTGTAACCCTCTCACAAAAATAGCCAGGTGATACTACTGAATAATGTTTCCAAATATCAGCCTTACAATTTTGCATTTTTCCCAGCTGAGCAACTGTTTATGCTCTTAAGCATTTACAGTATATACTAAAGCAAAATAAAAGTTTGTGCCTCTTGACTGACTTCAGGCAACTCCCTTTAAAGATGATAGTTCTCTGACTCCCATATTTTTCAAGAGATATAAAGTGCATTGAAGGGGGAGGCGTATGCATAATAAAATAAGAGCAAAGACTTAACTACCAATTGAAATACGTTTGCAATATTGTACAGAAAATAATGCTAAGAAAAGAGTCTTGCTTCACAAACCACTACTGCATTGTTTAGGCAGACAATTCACAGATAGTAAAGAATGCTTAATTAAAAACTGTCTATGCAAATACCACCATGTAATTTCTTCATGTTTTTTGTTAGATGTTTCACATATCAAAGAGAGGTTGTTTGGATGACAGAAAATTATCTTAATGTGGAGGTGAAGAGTAATTTTCATTGTCAAAACAATACACATTGAGAGCTCTGCAGAAACAGTTTGTAAAGCCAGCTAAGGAGCCTCACTGTAAAATACATCTTAATTATAACAAGCCTTCAGCAAAACAAAACATACATTTTGCATGTAAGAACAACAGCCTCCACTTCAGCCCTTAGAAAGGTATGTGAAGCAGATTTATACTCTGTTAATATTTCACTATTCTAATACACTAGTTTCTAACGAACTAATTTCAGTAAGATATGCAGGTCTTTCTCTGAAACATAAAATAAAATACACCCAAGGAGTTAAATATTTCATTTTTTCCTTTTATTTTTTTATTGGCATTTGCTGGTACTGGTCTGCAATCTGCTGGACGATACATCATTAGGTAAAACGGTGGAGCCATCACCGGAAACCAGAATATTTTTGCTCTCTTTATGAACCGGATGCCACATTTTTTGTTTTTGTTTAAAAACTATTTTAAATAAAAATATGTATTTTCTGGAAATGGATGGAATGTATATTTGACAAGTACAAAATCATTTTCAATGTTCACTAAATACAAGGAATATCTTGCTAAAAAAATAACAATCCCTCCCAAACCCTGTCCCCTCTTTACATTTCTAATTATAAAATGGTACAGCCATTTCAGGTAACTAACATAAAACAAGAAGTAAGGATGGAATATGTACACATACAAAACAACTTTGATATTTCACAACTGCAATAACCTTATACATTCATAGCAAAGTGGTATGTTGATTTTGATGCCCTTTTAAAAATCAGGTAACCAAAAAATGTTTTTTCTTTCTTTCTTTTTTTCTGCATTCACTCAACCAAATCACAAAGACCACATTTAAGAAACTCAGCGTTTTTCCCCCTCATGTGAAAAGTTCTTTCGCTGTCTTTTCAGTTAAATCTCATTGTATTTTAAAATATAGACCTTATTTTCAGTTGCTGAGGAACTAGTGTTTTTATTGGGGACAAAAATTCCAAGTTGCTGAAGAATTGGTATGGGTTGTAATGAGTATTATTTGAAAACTCTATTTGGCAGATTAGAAACTGTGCTGCAGAGGGCACTCTTCTCCCTAATGATCCACTTCAATCAATCAATAAGTACCATCTGGTACATGAACAAACTCCAGACTAAAAAGTCCATCTGGTGTTCTTTTTTCAACTGCAAAAGAATCAATTAGTTCAGGCAACAGCGTGCTCACATAAAAAACCCCACTGGTTGTGTTGAATCAAGTGCTATTAGAAAAAAAGTTCACTAAAGTAACTGTCACTCTGTCCTTCCTATCTCATACAAAATATTTCACTATATTATTTAAATTATTACTCTAAGCAAACCAATTACATTCTTTGATACTAATTGATCAATATATGCTTAAACTCTTTGGCTCTATTAAATAAATTAATCAATGCTCAGTTTTCCTTAATAACAATACAGCTGTTGGACAGCTGGCCTCATTACCATCAAAAGTGGTTAGGTATCCTGAAACCCTCAAAGAACAAAGACACTAGCTTTTACTAATAATCTAAACTTCATTATATTCTAGATAAAGAAGATTTTTTCTTGTTTACACTGAGGCCTCTTTTGTTACCCGAGTAGTGTAAATTAGGCCCTATATGCACTATAGGCCAGACCCAGGGGTGAGGGTAAACTTCATAAAGCACAAATCAGAGGTGCTATACAAAGTTGGCATACAGCTCACATTTTCACTTGTGATTTTTGTTGCTCTTCTGAGAAGATCAGTGCTCTTGTGATGAGTAAGAGCAACCTACTGACTGCTCTGAGTTATGTTGGCAATGTCCACCAGGGCCAAAAATGCAACAGAGGATTGGTGTCCTAGCCACATCCCCTTCCCTCTGCAACACAGAAAACAGAGAGTAGGATGGGCTAAGAGTCCATATAGCAACTGGGTGACTCTGGAAGATCACTCATACCCTGGAGTGATTCTCTGTGGGCTGGTTTAAGGGCCAAAATACAGTTAAGGGATGATGCAAATCTGTACTATATCATCGATTTGTAAAGTCAGATCAACTTAGATATAGTATATACTCATGATGATATGGCATTCCTTATGTATTTCTATCAGACTTGAAACCTCCTCTTTCACACGTACCTACAAAAAACATCCCTATGGGGGTGAAGAGAAGGAAACAATACCAATCAAAGAGAAATAAAAATCTGTAAGTGACCATTTGGTAGTGCCTACCCTTATGTGCCCAGACCACATGGCCATATTCTTAGCTCACTTTGACTTATTTGCTTAGCCCTAAACTTTCATAGGGACAGTTACTGGTTAGGAACAAAGCATCTATAAATAAAAACTGGGCAATTCACAACTGCTGAGATTAAATGTATTTGCCTTTGCTTTACATGCATTAACACTGACCAATTGTCACGACCATAATTTGCATCCTGTAAAATATAAAAACCTGGGCCTTGATCATTGCCTTTTAATCACAGATTTTCCTGGAAGTAGTAATGCAACATACATTAATTAGAGAAAATTCATAGGATTGTATGTCTGAAAATCTATACAGAGAAATTACTGCACTCTAAGGTTTCTACCTTTAACAGGAACTGCAAATAAAATCCATATTCTGGAAAATCAGTAGCTGATGTTTGCTAATTAAGGGCACATACATTTGTAAAGCAGTCTGCAAATGCCTGTTGGGGCAATTCAGCTGTCTGAATAATTGAAGAATTCATAATTAGACAACATGGTTTTGATTCAGAAGAAGGGAAGGATATAACAGAAATTTGAGATGGCCCTAAACCAAATCTTGGCTCTTGACACCCTCAAATTGTGGGATGGTTCAAATTCTGATCTTGCTTTAAAGTCTGTTACTTAGGCTCATCTCCAGCAGAAATTAGAATGTAGCACTAAGTATTCATGTAACAAGTTCCTATTAAAACACCAAACTTTTACAACTGCTTCCTGTGGGCCAGATCCATACCTCTCTGAAGTCTGTGGAAAACTTCCTATAAAGGACCTATGTCCACTTGTTAATACTGCTAGCACCTTGTTGATAGGAATCAAGCTCTCCTCCTGGCTTGTCCCACATATGAATTAAACAGTTTTCAATTAAACTATTAAACATTTTAAAAGCTATTAAACTAGCTTTATTTTGTCTATCTCGAAGTAAAAAACTGAGTAAAAACTGAGTAAAATTCCTTTCTCCCTCTGTTTTTGTTAAAATTCATTCTTATAAATTGTATAATTTTCTGTGTACATACCCATGTTAATTAAATATTATAGAGGCCAGAGAGATGAATATCAATTTGTTCTGACTACAAATAATTCACCTGATAGCCCCAGTCTTCCCCCATGTTCTAAAACTTCCATAAATCAGAATAAAACCCCATAATATTTAATGCCAATTTTTCAGACTAGGTGAGTCAGGAAGAATAGATGCACAGCTGGCACATGGGACAAGTCCCATAGCTGTGATCACAAACAAGCATTTGTAAACTGGGTAATCAGTGAGTGCATTTTTTTCCAAGTGTAGAGTTTTGTCCATGTACATTTTACATGGTTCATGCACTCAGCTGGTCTTTTGGAATGTAGCTTAATTAAACCCACAAAAACTATGAGACATTCACAGTATGGGTTCTGTCCGCTCAAGTTCACATCATCAACTGCTAGTCCCTGAAAAGTTGTCAGGCTTCCTAAGTTGGACAGCTGCAAAGGAGAAACCTCCCTTTCCATAACAATCTCTGCATTACATGGCAGTCCAAGCCTAGCCCTTCTCTCGAGGTGAAGTCACAGTCTCTGAACAGCTCAATGGCTTTTGAGAATGGACCTGCAGAATACTGAGCAAGCTTAGTAATGGGAAGCCATTTTAAAGAGTTGTATTTAGGATGTTCTTCAGTGTGAAATTCATCCCAGGGAGAAGATGAAGATTTCCCACCAGTCACCAATACTGTGAATGGGAAATCAGAGAAACACTCACATGGATTAAAAGAACAGCAAAAGAGGGGAGAAGCAAGAGGATTCTCTTCCCACAAAGGGACTTTCTTTTCTTTGTCCCGGTCTACATTTAAAATTTAGGTTGTCTTAGCAGTGTGAAAAATGTAGTTACGCCAATCTAAGCCTCAGTGTAGACAGTACTAGGTTGGGGCTTGTCTTCACTCCATGGGTGATCCCCACTGCCATAATCGATCTTCTGGAGTCCGATTTAGCAAGTCTAGTTAAGACTCACTAAATCAAACTCAGAGGGCGAGTTAATGGACATTTGCTCTTATCAGCCTCTGGCTGTGGGGATGCCGCCAAGCTTGGCTTAAGGTAAACTGACTCCAGTTATATATTCTACGTAGCTAGAGTTGCATACCCTAAACTGAGTTTCCAGGTCTAGTGTAGACCTGGCCTTGGTGGAAGAACTCTTTCATCAAAATAGCTATTGCCTCCCAGGGTGGTGGATTAACTATTACAATGGAAGAACCCCTTCCACTGCTGTAGTGAGTGTCTATGTGGCATGGCACAGTTGCAGCAGTGAAGTTGCAGCATATCTACTGTAGACATTCCTTTACAGTACTGAGATGTCTCCCCAGCCAGTGACACTGAATAAGATTACTCTACCCCAAAGAGTAGCTAGTAACTTCCATGTGCTTTGCAGTAATAATGCTGGTGGTGAAGAGAAATAGACAGTAGATAGAGCATTACAATCCAAGGGAGAAGGATTATTTCCCAAGAACGCTCCACTTCCCTAGAGCAGGCCGATTTGTTTTCTGGATAGGAGGTAGGCTGCTCAGTCAGCATCTGAGGCCCAGAAATCAATGAATATTCAATGTTGGACTAAGCCTTTAATATTGAACCCCAATATTAAATATAATAGTATGTAGGAAGAACAGGGAGGTATAAGCAGGGGTTAATCCTGCATTACATTCCCCAATCCTGCACATATTTATGTACATTCAGACGAGTAGCCTCACTGAAGCCAGTGGGGCTATTCCCAAGAGTAAAGTTAATTATCTCTATAAATATTTGTAGGATTAGGGCCTAGAAGTGTTACAAGATACTTCTACACAGTATGGTAAGTTATGCAGTCTCAGGCTTAGCACCAACTTCTCTAATTTTGTGGGTTTAATAATTTAACAATGATCTTTCAGTCAAAGCTTTGCAAGGTGCTTGACAAATTTAAAATACAAAGAACACTTTATCAATCAGATCCTGATTTAGGAAAGCATCTCCATTCACATGTGCTTCGCTTTAAACATATGCCTAAAGTCCCAACTAAATCAAAGGGATTTGAATATATTCCTAAAATTAATCATGTGCTTAAACGCTTTCCTAAATAGGGACTGATTTAAGCATGTGCTTAAGGGCCTGCCTGAACTGGTGCGTTAGTGAAGTGTAACTGGTCTGGCAAGTTTAGAACAGTGCACACAACAACAAAGCAGCCTGGGAGAGAAACGGAATGGTATTTTTGCTAAGTGAAACTGCAGGTAGAATTTGGGAATTAAAAACTAAGACCCCTCCCCCCCCCCGTACACTGCAATTTGGCCAGGATTCCACAACACTTGTGAAAATGACCAGAAGGTGTCAAGGCCTCAGTTTTATGTCTGACCTGAAAGATGGCACGTCCTTGAGCACAGTTGCCTCTAACGTAACGGTTCTCAAACTTTTCGGGCTTTGGAGCCCTTTACATGCATAAAAATGTATGCGGAGCCCCAGCGGTCCACTGATTGCATGTGTTGTATCTATCGATGTTTCCAGTTTGTCAACCTTGCGGAGCCCCTGGAGATGTCTCGTGGAGCCCTGGGGCTCCGCGGAGCACAGTTTGAGAAACACTGCTCTAACACTATTTGCTGGGAAGTGATTTAATACTGACTAACAGGTGAATATCCTGCTGCAGCATGAGTTTTCTTTAATCTTGCACTGAAGTAGTGACCCTCCCTGCCTTGCTGTTGGGATCATCCCAATATGAGATGGCTACAGATAACTGGTAACACTCACCTTTGACATTAGTTTATCAAAAGTTGCGTAATAAAATAAATGCATTGAGTGAACTCCACTGCAATCCATGCTCTAGTTTCAACAATGATTCTAATTGCTCTCTCTATTCATAGTCTGCAAATATGTTGATGTTAAAAGGTCACAGTTAACCTTAAAAATCATGTTTCTGCTGGAACATCCTTTTAACTAATTCTTGATCTAAGTAACACCTAGGATGACTAACTCAGAGAGATTAGTGCTTTTTCTCCTCTTGTCTTATCAGTTTGTTTACTTTGGGTATTGAGAGCACTTTTGTGTATAATCAGTTTCCTTCTTATTTCCTCTATGAAGCCAATTTTAGTGAAGTTCATCCCTAGGTAGATAGCCCCTGCACCACTTAAATCCCATTTCAGCATTATTTTTAGGCTTATCTGGGGCTTATGTGGCACTTTGTGCCAAGGAATATACTTCAGTCACATTCCCCTGAGGTTAGTGTGGATCTTTCACAGACAGAGCAACAGACAACAAAAAAAGTAAAAATAACTGATTTTATAAAACCACCAATATTGGCAATGGTGACCTAAAACAGGTAAAGAGTCTGACAATATCTTTAGCTTGCTTTTCAAACTGAATATATTTCCAATTGACTATGTCCATATGGTAAAACAAAAAGATATATTTTAAAAATGATTTATAAAAAGTTAATGGTATATGTACAGTTTTGAATCCTCATTAGTTGGGCTATTTCGCTGAACGCTTCTTATTCATTTTTATGGACTAAGAATACTCAAAATTTCATCTACAACAAGAATTCTGAGAGTCATAACCGGACTAAAAGAGTCCAGCAAACTCTCTTTTTTCTGACCTGCCCCATCCTGTAATTTAAGAAAGAATGAACTAGCTTTTTAAAAAAAAATATTTGTAAGCAAATTTCTCCTACTGCAAGATGTCATGTGTCATGTTTCCGCAGGGGGTACATTTTAAACGTTAAAATATAAATGCCTGAAAAGATTAAAATAGCAATCCTGAAAGAACACGGTGACATTCTGAAATTCTGCTATACTATAATTAGGTGAAAATAGTTTTCCTTTCTGTGTGCTATTGCTTATATTGACCGGTCCAAGAGAGGGTAATGCAATTTAAATGTTCTGTCAAAAGAAAATGTTCACTAACACAAAGCTGTAAGTCATCCTTTGCACTTGAATATTTTGACTGAAACATAAAATTGCCCCCTGAATAAAGTAGCAACAAAGCAGAACATATCTGTAAGTTATAGAACACAGGCTAGTAATAGTTCAAGACTTAGATTTTGGTATTCATATGATGCCTTAATTTTTAATCTGTCAAACAGAAAAAACAGTGAATTCTTCTCCTGCAATGTTTTTCAGGTTCAAATTTACCATATCTTATCTCAATCATTGTATTGCCACATTCAGAAGTCTCTAGAAGGTAGCGAACTGAGGAATCACCTAACTCTTTGTGTTTGCTAACAATGATGTGCAAAAACTGCACTTAAAGATATAAAGGTAAATAATTTGTCCAGCTGTACTCGGCTTAACTTTTTAGTCTGGAAACTGACATGTTAGTTGTCTTTGCAGTTCAGGCCTTTTCTAAAAATATTTCCATCAACCACAAATACCTACATGGGGATTACCAAGCATTTTCTTGAAACTGCTCAGTCACTTACTGGTCTGCTGATTTTTCTTTTTAAATTTAAGGAAGTACCCAATTTAAAACTAGATCCTGTTTTCCAGCTAGTAAACAGGGAAGTAACAAGGAAGGCCATTAATGTACGCAGTCTGTTAATGAGAGAAAATATAGCAAGAATAGGATGAATCTTAATGCCATTATTTTTTTCTTTTACATATTGTACTCCCTGTGAATTTAATTGAGCTCTGTCAGTGGAAGCCAACTTAATGCAGTTTTAAACAAGTCACCAAATGTCAGTTAATCAAGGGCTTCAATTTACATAGGCAAAGGCCTCTTGAAGATATAATCTCCAAGACCCACTTTTAAAGGTTTCAAAATCTTAAAGAAAATAGGGTTCATATTAACACAGAGTGCTGAAACACTATTTCTTTATAAAGCCATGCATATTTCATGCAAAAATGTCAAGGCAATAAGAAATCCTGGAGACAGATCATGAAATGATCAGAGAACGGGAATTCCAGACTGAACTCTTGGAAAAGCTGGGGTCAGTCAATGAAAAGAAAAGTGTCCATTGATAATCAACCATAAATAAACATAATCTTCTTTAAAAATAATGAACAAGAGCAGAAAACACTCAAGCTGTCATTTCAGTTGCACACTTATGAGCCACTGAAGAGGTACAGGATTGCTTTTAAGCATGTGGGAAAACAATAAGCTTTCATTTTCCACGTGAACAAAACAGACACATGTAGATGATGAAACTGCATCCAGGTAGACACAACTGTTGCTATTGCTTTTGTGAGTGTGAGTGAGTGAGTGAGTGTGTATGTGTGCATGTCCCTGCCCCTCATGCCTACCCTTTAGTTTAGTGGGGGTTTTCTGCTTGTTTTTCAGGATTTCACCTCTTCGCAGTCTTGATCAGTGGAAAGCTCCACATCAGATAGTCCCACCTCCATTGCCATAATCAATGATATATCAGAATCACTGCTGACTGCTGGCTCCTGTTCACCTGGAAGAAAACAGGAAAAGGAACTAATGTTCAAGTCATGTCAGTTTACCACAGATATTTAAATGCAGAGATAAGCACACAATCCAGATCCAAGCTTGCCCAGCATTTGGATGCTGGTGTCTTGGGTCTACTCAATCTCTGTTGGAAGAAATCTTAAAAATCTACAAATCCAACTCAAGAGTAAATTAAGGCCAAAAAGAGCCTTGAAAACAAGAACTTCTTCCAGACTTTTCTACTTCTGGAAAGACTCCCATAGAACTGCGAGTCTCCATGGCCTTTTTGCTATTTTACTGACACTTCATCCCAATACCTATCAGCTACCCTTCCCTCTTCCTCTCTCCTGCTCAGTCTTTCAGGTGTACTCAGGCAGCTGCTGACCCATATGTCTTAGGGTTTCTACCTTAATTCGCCTTGATCCCAACTAAATTTAGATGCAGATCTATTAACCTTCACCTGATTGCTACTCACCTCATGTAGCATGTTTAGGAAGAAAAGCATCTTTTTTGGTAGGACTCTGCATCTTTTACTGTATGTGTATTTCAACACTGGTGAAGCCAATGGAAAAATCTGCACACCAAAGGCTGCAGAAGCAAGCTAAATATTATTTTGATGACAGGTAAGAAAACCTCTGGTATTTGGGAAAGAGGGGGGAGACTTCAGGAGGCAAAAGGTCACTTGGGTGGGCAATCCTAATCAACAGTAGGGATCTTTTGCAAGCAGGCTGCTGTTTCGTAATTACCATAATAATTAAACAGATTTGAAAATGTTTCTTACATTGTACTTAAAGTTGTGGTAGTTCTGGAACTGAAGATTGAACCACAGAATCTGAACTAGACTGAAATTTAAAACAAAAAGTCTAAAATAGGATGTGAGATTGGCATGAGGTCACGACGTGATACCTCAATCAAACCACAAAAGCAAACACACACAGTTTGATTCATCCTAAAGTAAACGAGTACAATCCCTTTACATCCTCCTCACAAGTGCAAGATTCTAAAGTGCAATTATTAAAGAAAAGTTATGTCTAGCTGCCAGCAGGTATCAAGCAGAGTGTCCCAGAGGTTGATCCTAGGGCTGGTTTTGTTCAACATCTTCATTAATAATCTGGATGATGGGATGGATTGCACCTTCAGCACATTTGCAGAGGACACTTACTTGTGGGCAGAAGAAGATATGCTAGAATGTAGGGATAGAATCCAGAGTGACCTAAACAGATTGGAGAACTGGGCCAAGAGCAATCTGATGAGGTTCAACAAAGACAAGTGCAGAGACCTACACATAAGATCAGTGTTCCCTCTAATTTTTCCCACCCGAGTGGAATGAATTTTGCTATGTGCACTAACATGGAGGCGATGTGTGACGTATCACCTTCACATTGGTGCACATAACAAAACTGATGTGGCGGGGGGTGAGGGGCACCAGTCTGGGGTCTCAGACCTGGGGCCGAAGGTTGGCGTGCAGGAGTGAGGGGGCTCCAGTTGGGGATGCAGGCTCCATACTGGGGCTGAGAGATTCAGAATACAGAAAGGGGCTGAGGGTTGAGGAAGGGGTTTGGTATGCAGGAGGAGGTGAGGGCTCTGGGAGAGGCCCCTGAATGAATGGTTTGGGATGTAAGGGGCTCCTTTGGAAAAAAATATCACAGTAGGAATTGTGAAATGCACCGTGTAAAATTATTCTTTGTTTAAAAAACAAGTTATTACCCAAGTACAGTCATTTTACGTTCCCCCCAGTTACGGAAAGAGAATCCAACCAGTCTAATTATGCAGAGGGTCATAATTTACACTTGGACGATGCTTCAAAGATGTGAAGTGCTACATAAGTTCTGAGTATCACTAATATTTCCTTTTTTTTTTTTTCCTTTTTAGGGGATTAGTTCATCTATGATCAAAGCAGAAGTTTAAAAACCTAAAGCCATTTCCGTACAGTTAGAAGAAGGGTGGCAAGGAAGAAATTAAGATTGTGGCCAACCAGGATTTTGGTCCAGTTTTTTTTCCAGACACACAGCATTCCACTTAATGGGCTAACTGCTGAACTCCCTTTGAGAGGTGAGAGTAATGCAAAAAAAAGCAAATGCATCTCTGGCTGCAAGCAGAGTTTCTGCATTGATGTTTTCTCTGCCAATATGGTCAGTGTTCCACTCATACCTGTGACCACGTGTTAAGTTTCTCCAGAAATATTTGTATCATTTGGTTTGCCCAATAAAGCATGGACTTCCGAGCCATTTCTTTCCTAGGGCTACGTCTACATTGCACATTCTTGTGCAAGAAGATATCCAAATGAGGCGCAGCAGAACGGCTCGTGTGCAAGAGGGGGTTTTACGCAAGAAGGAGCGGTGTAGACTGCTTTTTGCTCAAAAGCCCCTTGCGCAAAAATGACAACTTATTAGGTGTGCAAATGAGGCGTGGCGATATTCATTACCGTGCCTCATTTGCATATCTTCTTGCTCAAGAATGCGCAGTGTAGACATAGCTTAGGTGTATAATAGCACTGACAGTGAGTTTGGCAGACTAAGCGATTAAATAACTTTTGCCTTATTGCATGCTCCAAACAGCTTAGTAGTATTTGTGTGTTCCCATTTCTCATGTCCTATCTGTGACCACAGTTAAAAGTTACACATAACCCAATTTATATTACAATATAATTCCTGACCCAATGTTGCCAATTTACATGATTTTATTGCTAGTTTTGTCATATTTATAATATTTTCTTAAAGCCCCAGCTTCGGGACTCAGGTGAGAATCTCAATTTTTGTTTAAAAATAGAGTACATTTCTAGCCCTTGTAGTAGCAGAGAACAGCTTGAAAATATGAATACTAAAGGCTCGAAAACAGAAGGCAAATAAAAATAACCCTGTGATGGGGTGTACATATACCACACTGGGCTAGAAGGGATTAATACCCTGTGGGCAGAGGCAGTCCCTCCCCCAGCCATACTGGGAATACTCCAAGTGCTGGGCTAGTATAAAAGGGAGCAACTCAGTCCAGTCTGGGCTGGATGCTGGAGAGGAAGGACCGGTGACAGGAGTTCTAGTGGTGGACCAGATACAGATCTAGACAGTGGGAGCTGGGGAGCCAGGAGACTGGAATGAGCCTCCAGAGCTGGTGATGCCCCAGGGAATGACTTACACCACAAAGCAAGAGGACCCCAAGCTTCATGGATTGCTCTGCTGACAGAGATGGTAGGACAGATGACAGAACGAGGAGCAATGGTCTCAAGTAACAGCGGGGGAGGTCTACGTTGGATATTAGGAAAAACTATGTCACGAGGAGGGTGGTGAAGCACTGGAATGGGTTACCTAGGGAGGTGGTGGAATCTCCATCCCTAGAGATTTTTAAGTCCAGGCTTGACAAAGCCCTGGCTGGGTTGATTTAGTTGGGATTGGTCTCAATGACTCCTGAGGTCTCGTCTATGAAGTGACCTGGGAAGGATCGGTGCATTTTGGGTAGATTTCCCGCTGAGCTAGTGGTGGACCACTCCTCCACTGCCAGGGTCTTGGGTAGGGGCCCAGTGGAGTCAGGCAGGCCTAAGCCCCCCCTACTGGAGCTGCCATCTCAACCCCTCAGTCCAGCACTGTCCATTACAGCACACTGCCTTGCATGCAAGGGGCTGCTCCATAGACTCTAATCAGCAGGCTGCGCTGCCCTGGGGTGATGGACTGACTCAAGGTCACTGACAGATGGAGAGTGGTAATAGTGGTGTCTACACATCCCAGTGACATCCCCCTCTTGGGACAGGGTGTGCACATATCACCACATATTCCCATTTATTATTTTGTAAAATCTTGAGATTTTTTTTTAAAGCCTTTTGTAACTAGGACATGCTGCTGAGGGAAGCAAAAGATACCTCACAGGAAATGTTTCCTCTAATCTTTTCCATCCATTTGCAGAATATATGTAGGTGCACCGAGGCATGTGCAAATATGTGCACCACCAATAGAAATACAAAATGCAGCTGTGGGCGCTCTGCTAATCAGGTGGGCAGCATTTGAATGTCTTCTGAGCAGCCACACAAGCACACTGCTTTCAGAAAACGCTGCTCACACCCTGATTTTACCACCTACAGTGGGTAATGACAGACCTTGTTCAGATACCAATGTCACTTGCCTTTCACTTTCAAGAGAAATAATGCTGCATGTCACAGCATGCTGCCTTTCCCTGCCTCATGCTGTATAGGCAATTCCATTTGGCTTTGTTCGCTGACATATGATGGTTTGAAAAAAAGAGAAAATAAAACCAAAGACTGTTTCTAATCTATGTTGCACCTGACTTCACTTTGTTGTGGCCCTAATGATACTGCTATGCATGACTGCATATGGCAGGTCAGGACAACTTACTGACCCTCTGAGCCACGTATGACAATCGTAAGAAGCTCAAAAGCCTGAGCACGCCTGCTGGGACTCAAGGCTTCAGCTGCTTTTGTTGCTACCTCTCCCTATGGAGATAAAGCAGAAACCCCTCAGTGCAGCTCCCCACTGTGTGCCATTCCCTCTTCACACGGCGCTTATACCTGGGAGCTGAAGGCAGGGGCTGCTGAGGAAAAGAAGGGGAGTAGGCATGGGGGCACATGATTCAAACTGTTGGGGAGGATGGAACCTTTACATTGTGCCCTCTCCTGCCTCAGCAGGCAGAAGTCCTCTCTGGGCAAAGTCCCTAGCCCCACCAGCCTTCGGCAGGGCAGAAGGCCTGAGCTCCCACTCCTTTCCCCAATCTGCTGGGTGGAGAAGTGTGCGTGGGGCGAGGGCAGAGTCATGGGTGGGCCTGAGTGGGCTGTGGCCCATTCACTTTGCATCCAGGCCTACCCCTTAGCAGGGGCTCCTGCCGGGGAGCAGGAGTGGAGCAGAGGAACTTACCCTTCCTTGCTCCACTCCGGCCAGGGTTTACCCATCTCCATCCCAGAGCTCTATCCAAGAAGCAGGGTCGGGGCTTATCACCTCCATCACTCATCCCATTCTCCCTCACTCTCCATTCTTGCCCACCCACCCGAAGTCAGGGTTCACCCAT